CAAGTGGCGCATGTGCGTCGACTACACCGACCTGAACCGAGCTTGCCCGAAAGACTGCTTCCCCCTCCCCAGAATTGACCGCCTAGTGGACGCGACTTCGGGACATGAGTTTCTAAGCTTCTTGGATGCCTACTCGGGCTACAACCAAATCAGGATGGACTAGTCTGATGAGGAAAAAACCAGCTTCATAACCGAGTTCGGCCTGTACTGCTACAAGGTCATGCCCTTCGGATTGAAGAATGCTGGGGTGACCTTCCAAAGACTTGTGAACAAGCTGTTTCGGCCCTTAAATGGCACGAAAATAGAATGCTATATAGACGACATGGTCGTCAAGACGCAGCTTTCACAAGAATTAATACAAGACTTAGATTCTGTCTTCCAAATCCTACGTCAATTTAGCATGAAACTGAACCCAAACAAGTGTGTCTTCGGGGTCACCTCGGGTAAGTTCCTAGGGTTCATCGTCAATCGGCGCGGTATTGAGGCCAACCCAGACAAGATAAAGGCCATCCTAGATATGAGACCACCCCGAAAAGTAAAAGAGCTTCAGAGGCTAAACGGCCGCATAGCCGCTCTGAGCCGCTTCATGTCCAAATCAGCAGACCGCTGCCTGCCTTTCTTTAAAGCAATCAAAGGCTAAGGGTTTGAATGGACCTAAGACTGCCAGCTCGCGTTTGACGAGCTAAAAAACTAGCTCACTAGTGTGCCGATCTTAACCCGGCCCGAGAAAGGCGAGGTCTTGGAACTATACCTCTCAACAAGCGACGAGGTGATCAGTTCGGTACTAATAAAAGAACTATACCTCTCGGCATGACAGCCGCACTATAAACGACCACCTGCCACCGCCATTTCCAGTTACAGAGACGGCTCCGACAAAGAGAGCAGTGGCGGTTCTGCCCCAGCAGAGGTGATGACACCCGAACTGGCAAAAGCACAGAAGTAATCATACCCGACATGACAGAAGCTTAGGAGTGAGTGCGCAAAGTGGTTATAAAAGGCTCTCTACCCCCCAAGAACAAGGTATGTGAACTTTGCGCCATCTGGTTCTATCTTGCCTTTGAGAGAATACTAACTTGAGCTTCGGAGCAATCTCATCGGGTTCCTCCCCGGAGATTCCCCACTTTCTTCTTCGTTTCAGGCCCCCTGTTGCTCCAGTCAGAGGTAAGGTCGTTGACAGCTAGGACCGGCCGGATTGCGCACCATCAAGAACCTTATGCAAATGCTTGAGCTCCTTCCACTGGAATCAATGACCACACTTAATAGTAGGGGTACTTTAAGACAATACTGAAATAGTACGGTTATAGTTAGTCAATTTCCTAAACCTTAGGGTTAATTTAAATAAAAAATTCCCTTTATTTTTCATTTAATCTTTTCTTCCGAAGGGCAAAGTCAAGAGTCGAAAAGAGAAAAAGAAAAATTTCCAATCAGTACCCTATACTTTGGGCTTAATGCCACTTGGGTCTCCGAACTTAAAATGCAACAATTCAGTACCTAAACTTTTAAAACGTGTCAATCCAAAACTTGTCATTAATCAACTATTAATCAACCATTAAGTGGCATTTAAAGAAGACACAAATGCCCTTCAAGTGTCATCTAATTTTCTTTATCAATCATCCAAATGTTGACAAAAAATTAGCAGTCCCAAATCCTTGCTTTTTCTATTTAAGAATGTTGGCAAAAAACCAATAGGCCTTAAGTTTTTTGAATAGAAGAGGCAAGGATTTGGGAGTATTAATTTTTTGTCAACATTTGGATGGTTGATCAAGAAAATTAGATGACGCTGCAAAGACATTTGTATCTTTTTCAAATGCCACTTAACGGCTGATTAACAGCTGATTGGATTGACATGTTTTAAAAGTTTGAATATCTAATTATCGCATTTTAAAATTCGAGGACCAAAATGACACTAGGCCCAAAGTACAGGATAGTAATCGGAAATTTTGCCGAGAGAAAAAGGAACCTTATCGACATCTGCGCAAATTAGAAACATCCTTTCGTGGACGCACTAAAACACGCTCCCGCTTGACCGTTGGTGGATCAAGTTTCAAATAAAAATAGTCCCTTCCGTCTTCCTCTGCCTTTTCTTTCTGAAACACCTCGTTTCTCTCTCTCTCTCTGGCTCGCTCTCTCGCTCTCGCTCTCTCTTCTAAAATGGGCCCTGCTAAGGATTCTTCTGATCGTCTTCAATGGCAGAAAATCTTCAACGCTATTGTCCAAATGTTGCAGAGTCAAAATATCCAGCTCGAGTCCCTCGTTAAAGAGAGGAAACTTCTCGAAGATAGGATTCAGATCCAACACGAACGATGGGTTTCCGACGTTCGTCTCCTCGAGGAACAAATTTCTCAAGTAAACACTAGAAAATCCCAAAGCCCACAATACAGAGCAATTTTAAATATGAAATTTAGGATTCGTTTTTTAGGTTCTAGGGTTTTAGGGTTCCGCTCTCATTTGTTTTGCAGATGAAGATGGATCTTTTGGAAGCGGAGATGGGTCAGTTTCTTGAGGCAGCAAAGGCAAATTTGTTGGTCGGGTTGAAGCAGAAGGAGGCTTCTCTTTACAAGCTGAAATTAGGTCAGATTTTCTTCTTTCTTTTAGGATTCTCTCCTTCTTTCTTTCTCAGTCTTGTATGGTAGTTTCATTCCCACCACGCCCCCTCATACTTTGAGGTGGACATTTTACTTTTTTTTTTCTTTTTTATGCTTCCGAGGAGGAACACCTTCAATTTCTTTCTCATATTATACCAGAATTACCAGAGTATATGCATATTCATTCCCAGGAAGAATGCCTTTCTTCGTGCAGGAATTTAAAAATAAACAAATAAGGCTCAGTTTGGAAATAGTACAAATGCAAATATGTACATCATAAATACATACAAAATAATACAAAATATAAGGTTTTACAGTCTACATATTTGCATTTGTACTCCTTCCAAACTCAGCCTAAATGAAACAATCTTCAGTATCAGTGATCATTTTAGCAAATGGCAATTAGTTATTTTATTTTATTTTTTCCTTTTTTTCCGTCCTTATTAGAGAGATAAAAATATTTTATAAGTTTTATCTGCTTTATAGTGGAAAAGTTTTCTTGTTTTAACCTTGTGGCACGAATGATTAGTAGTTCTCAGAGAACAAAAACGCAGTGTGGTTTTTCTGTTTTGGATGGGCATTGTTTTGAAGGGAAGTTTGTATACGGGTTTGAAATTTTGGCTTGAAATAATTTAATAACTCTTCTTCACTGTATTACTTCTTGCTATGAAAACAGGGCGTGCAGAGAGCGAATTGGAGGACATAAAATTATGGCTTGACTACCTTACTCAGAAATTCGCTGAAAAAAATGTATGTTACTATCATTTCAGTGTGTTCCTTTTTGTTTTTGTGATTTTGTCAGCAAGAGTAAATTTATTGCTTTTCTCTGCAACTTTTTTCTTATGGTTTACAGGGAGGATCTCCGATAAAAGTAAAAAAAATTGACAAAATAAAGGGCAGAGAGGGAGATGGTGACCTAAAATCTGTGGACAACACCAAGGAAGAGGAACGGCGTTCCAAGACATTGGAGGGTGAAGTAAGAAAGCTTAAGCGTGCATACGAGAGTCTGAAATCGAAAAATACTTCTGAAGTCTCTGCAATTTTGTCAGAGAGAAATTTTGTGTGGAACCAGTTCAAGAAGTTAGAAAGTGACTACAATAGTCTTTTAAAGACTAAACGTGCTGAAGTTGGACAGGCAAATGAGAAGATAGAAAAACTTCTTGCAAGTTTGGAACAATTACAGTCATCAAACAATGAAAAGGATGATATCATATTGAAGTTAAAAACTGACCTTGCTAAACTTGAGGCTGAAAAGGATAAAAGCAATAAAGAAATTTCCAGGCTCTCTAAGGAATTGGAGTTGCTAAGGAGTTCCCAAAGTCCTTTAGTTACATCTTCCTTGAATGGTTGCACAGCAAAATCAGATGCCCATAGCCTGAAAAGCAAGAACAATGGGAGAGACAGGAGGCCTTTCGTAAAGAAAGACTTAACTGCATCACAGACTTCTGATTCTCATACCGACTCTGAAAAGGTATATGCAACTTGAACCAAGCATAAGTTTTTCATTGGTGTCATTAGCCTTCATGTTTATGCTTGATTTTTAATGTAATTTCTGGATTTGTTTTTTTTTTTAATTTTTAGTCAATCAAATGATCTTTGCAAGCTCTTTTTCTTAATGCCTTCCATCTAGTGGAAACTGATCGGAAATATTATGCAGGACTACTGTTGCTTGTAATTGTTAGAGTAAGAGGATCTTCTTTTTGGTCTTGGGCCCGTTGTTCTATTGCTTGAACTAACAAGTTGCATAAGATTGGAATTGCTCTTTTTGTTTTTAATTAATGTTAAAGACCATGAAATGACATGTTTGAGGTAAACTTACCAGGAAAAAAGGCAATTTCTTTGTTTATAAATTGCAAATATTTACTTTATTATTTGTTGTTCTGATAAAATGACAGAGAAAAAGTTGGCAAGAGTTGCGTTTAATTCTTTATAATTGTTGTTCTAATTCTGATAATCTAACTCTGACTTGCAGAATTAGAAATCTTTTTTTATCTTTATTTCTTTCTTGGTGGTAATAACATAAAACTCTGAAAGATGAGTGAAAGAAAAAGTAGGAAATCTTTAACCTGATAAAGCTGAAAATTATTTTGACACTTCACTAATCCCACCCAAGTAGTGCAATATCATCTGTCTAACAAGTGAAGAAAAGTGCTCAACAGTAGTGTTTCACTTGGATTTGGCTATTGTTGTGAGTTGTATGGTGTTGTCCCACCATTTGATGATGGATGGAAGGGTCAAGATATATTGAAATTATGAATTTGAAAGTCGATCATCCTTGTCCCTCCAAATTCCTTGCCTTCTTTTGTTCCCCTTCCCCCTAGTGAAGAAAAGTGCTCAATAGTAGTGTTTCACTTGGATTTGGCTATTGTTGTGAGTTGTATGGTGGTTGTACCACCATTTGATGATGGATGGAAGGGTCAAGATATATTGAAATTATGAATTTGAAAGTCGATCATCCTTGTCCCTCCAAATTCCTTGCCTTCTTTTGTTCCCCTTCCCCCTAGTGAAGAAAAGTGCTCAATAGTAGTGTTTCACTTGGATTTGGCTATTGTTGTGAGTTGTATGGTGGTTGTACCACCATTTGATGATGGAGGGAGGGTCCTACACAAGATATATTGAAAATTATGAATTAAGGTCGACCATCTTGTTCCTCTAAATTATTTACCTTCTTTTATCCCCAACCCTCCGCCTGCTTTATAGATGCTTGAGGCCTCATGGGAAGAGGATGACTTTCCATAGATACTTGGAGGTTCTTTAGAAAATGGAAAAAGGTGGTAAGAAGATGGCTTTCCATGGATATACAAATTTTAGACATTCTTACAGCTTTTATTTTACTGATTCCCTCCATATCTTTCTAGTTTGAGAGATGCATTTTTCAGTTATAATCATCATTTATTTAGCATATCAAAAGCTAGCAATGGTAAGAACAAGCCAGGGACAATACTTATTGATTTAAACATTTGGTGGGTATTTTTAAGCAGCTTGTGTTTTGTTGAGAAACATGTTTGCTTAGTTAATTTAATGCCAAATGACTACATTCCCCTTTTTCTATCAAATTTCTTGTTAGCATAAAGAACTTCATGTTTGTTACATGATATTGATGAGACACTGCCAAGTGTAAACAAGTCTCTTAAGGCGTTTGATACTCCCAATGTTGATCAGGGATCTAGAAGAAGTTTGAAGAGGAGAGGTGCTGAGGCCATTGTCACTTCAGAGACTCCAAGATTGTTCTCATCCACGTTTAAAGTTCCAAAGTTGAAGAACTCGCCTTTGCTTTACATGAGTAACTGACTAACTAGCTAAACCACAAAATATGTTTTTGTGTTCATACAAAGAAGAGTGAGAAATCATGCTTGTATGTATTGAAATTATTATATCCTTTAGTGTCTGTGTAAGTTATGCAATCTTCTGTAATCCAAGGGGAGTAATTTTTTTCTTTGGAAATTCCACAATCTAGAGGAAAATTTCTACTGAGAATACCTTTATGATACTGGTTGATTGGTCACAAGTTTTTCACATACATGTCTTTCCAGTATCATACTTGCAATGCCACAGGCTCCACTTTTTGACAATTGTAGGCAGTCTATTAATATTTATCATATTTCTTTGCCGGGTTCGACTATGATACCGAAAAGACAATCTGAAAATCTTTTGACCTTCAACCGGGTATCATAAACATGTTAACCAATCAGATGGTATTTATCAAAATTCACAGGTGGATTTTGATTGGTGAAAGCTCTTTCCATATCATGTCTTTCCAGAATCAAAGATTTTCATAGGGCCTCTGGTAAAAGGTAAAAGGCCCATGTGCCCAAGATCGGGGTTGGCTGATTTTCTTTGAGAGTGCCATGGATTGATGGATTGGTATCAAAATGCCCCATACGATTAGATTCAGTTTCCTAATAAAGAAGGGCACTGAATTAGTTATGGGCGGAGTTTGCCTTATATTTGCGTCCAGATCTAAAAAGTTTCTAGCCTCCAAGCTGCCTTGTCAGGTTCAGATTCGGATTTAGGTAGATCCTTATTTAGGCCATTTCAATATAGCCCTTAGCCCAGACAAAATCCAACCCTTTTATCCTGTCCAATGCATCTATATAATATGGGTAGGATCCAAACTGATCCACTTTTTACTCAGTTAACTTTATGGCTAAATCTTATTAAGTATTACTGTATTAATGTTTTGAACCCATTGTTAACTCGACAGGTGTAACTGGGTGGCTATCATTTAACCATGTTTCTAGGTCCATTTAGATCATGAGCCCTTTACATGCAAAAAAAGAAAGAAAGAAAGAAAAAACATTGACTTAGTCAATGACCTGGTGATCTATCTATAGAGAATTGAACTGTTTGAATTAATTGTTTTAATGTACATGATATTAGAGATTGAAAAAGAAAATATGGACTACTCCAATAGTTAATACTTTTCTTTAAACATATCTACGAATCCTTTTTTTTACCTAATCATTATGTTTATTTTTCTGTATTAAATTAAAGTTTCAATCTAAGAATATTGGATTAATAAAATATTTGTGGTCCATTTGGTTCATGGTTGAAATCGCAATCGCAATCCGGTAGAATTGAAACCGGAATGGTCTATTCCCATAATTTGTATCAACTGGAATGGGACTTCATTCCCAAGGAAGGGGGAGGGAATGGCCATTCCACCAGAAGTGGGAATGGGATTTTGATTCTGCCCAACCAAATAGTTGGAATCGAAATGGCCCATTCCAATTCCGATTCCAGACCCCTACTCCTATGAACCAAACGGGCCACAGATGTGGAGAGAATTAATACTTCAAATTAATATTTTTTAATCAATTACCAAAAATTAATATATTTTCTAACCTAATGCATAGAAGAATACTTTGGTTAGGAAAGAACCAGTCAAATTAATTGTTTTTTAATTTCATTAGACGTCTAATCTCAAATTAATGTTTGTGTTTAGTCTTGTATATTAAATAAACTTTCCAACATAAGAATAGAACTATATAATGTTGATACCAAGAGTTTTAAAGCCCTTACGCAACTTCATTGCAACAAATCAGCATCAAGTACAGGCCTAATAAAATCAGGAGGGAGAGAAGGTTTCTGCAATAATTGTCTACAGTATTTAGCCGCCAAGGGACATCCAAACGATTGTCCAACATAAGACATATAACCTTCGGTGTGTCTCCTTCAAGCCAAATGTGAGAAAAGTTTAGGTTCAGAGTCATTTGAAGGCCTACTCTAACAGCTCGAGCTTCTGAAAGTTTCGGGTCCGAGAGATCTGTTGGAATGGCTCTGCCGAAGAGGAAGGCACCACAATGATCTCGAATTACAAGACCCAATCTAGATTTGCCATTGCCCATTGCACCATCCACATTGATTTTGACGAACGGTGCAGTTGATGGAGACCAACCTATGGAATGTTCAATAATACATGTAGCAGGGTTGGTGTCACCTTCCTCTCTTCTTCGTTTTAGCTCTGCCAGCTTCTCCGATTCAAAGCTTGTTTCCAACATACTACAGTTCCAAGAGAAAAGATCAAAGTCAATGAGTTCTGCTACCTTGCCATTTCGTGCATCTTGATTTGATGATGAGATCGGCGTAGGAAGCCATACTACACCTTTACCCCTTTCAACAAATTCTTTTTAGAGTCAAGCATACTACACCTTTTTTTCAGTTTGGAAAGATTATAAATACAAATATGTATAATATAAATATATATTAAATAATACAAAATGCAAGGTTTTGCATTCTATATATTATATATTTATATTTGTACTCCTTTCCAAACTGAACCTGAGTATTTCAAAGATAAAAGCTAAGCCCACAACTTGTTTTGTTCTGTCATGAAACGCCACGTAGGCTTCATCAGGAGTACACTGCTTCTTATGGCAGTATCTTTGGATTCCCAGTCCCCTAACCTCCTTTCTATTCATGAAAAACTTCCAGCCATTCAGATATATGTGGTGGTTTCGTATTGTAAAGCCCCACCAAAAATCACGACTTATAGCATTGATTTGGGAACAAATGCCCTTCGGTATCTACTAGATCAACGTTTTTAAACCGTTGTTGATTTGAACGGTCCGACCATTCGCACAGGAAACTGGTCACTTGAACAGTTTTAGGTTTACCTTGAACCGTCATTTGATGAAAAAATGTTGAAAAAGTCAAAAAAAGTCAATTCGCTGGTTGAACCATTGACCCGTCCGACCCGTCCAATGGTTAGCGATTCGATATTTTATAAATTCTGTTTTTTTTTAAATAAAAATAAAACAAAAAAAATAAAATGTCAAACATATCCTAACATCTAACCTTCGAAAGTCTTAGCCTCTTTACTCTCTTAGGGTTTTGTTTTGCCAAAGCGAAAACCAAAAGCCTTAGGTGTTCACCGAAGACGACGGCGGCGATATACCGCACCACCCTTCCCAGATTTCGAGTAAGCACCCGCCAGCGACCAAAGTTGCAGCAGCAGCCGGCGACTAAAGCTTTACTGCGGCTGCCGGCAAACACTGTCAAACTAAAAGCTTTCACTCTTTCTCAAGTCTCAATCGCATCTTGAAAGGAAAGGCTCCGACGACTATCTTCGCTGTGGCTGCCACTGAACACCGGAGACTCCAACCTCCGGCGACTATCTTCACTGTGGCTACTGGCGAACACTGTGATATTTCAGCTAACTAAGTGAGCCGGCGACTATCTTCTCTGTAAGTGTGCCATTATCTCAAAACACCAAAAGTATTAACAGTTTTCCATCCTTGGATAAGTGGATCTTCCACAGAAATTAAACCAGGAGCTCTCCCTTGATTGGAATACTAGACGAAATGCCATCCTTGATATTGCCAGGGGACTAGCTTATCTCCATGAAGAATGCAGGCAGAATAGTTCATTTAGACATTAAATCCCAGAATATCCTCTTGGATGACAACTTCAATGCTAAAGTTTCTGATTTTGGAATTTTTTCTATATTTTTTATAATTTTTCTATATTTTTTGTATTTTATTATTTTTATATTTAGATATTTTTATTTTTACATATGTTGTTCTTTTTCCTGTATATTTTTGTATTTTATTTAATTTTTTTATTATATATAAATATTTTTTGTTTTTTAATTTATTTATGATGTCACGGGTCGAACTGTTTGACTTGAATGATTGAACTGCCGAACCAAAAAACGGTGCCCAGAACCGTTCCACTTTTGAATCAGTTTTTAAAACCTTATACTAGATAGTCATGAAATAGTTTGGGATAGAGGATAGGGTCGAATTGATAAGGATTTCTTCCACTTCTAAAGTTTATTACAACACTTCTCAACCAAAAAACTCTAATTAGAAACAGTATTATTATTAATCAACAAGGTGCACCAAGGTAATTTTCTTTTCCTATCATGATGTTGACTCCAAGTTGATGAGCAATATCTCGTTGATACTTCTATGGACATTCTGGCTAAAGTGAATCGAGGATTTAGTGAGATTTATTTATTGTCCTGAGTAGCTCCCAAAGTTTTAAGGTTAGCAATTTCACCGCTAGAGCACCTTCCAAAGATTAAAATGTCGTTAGCAAACATGAGGCGATTCGGCTTCGCGCAGTTTCTAGTGATTTTGATGCCATAAAGTTATCCAAAGCCAACATTTTTGACTAGAAGCCTGGAGAAAAGGTTCATATAGAGAATAAACAAGTAAGGTGAGAGGAGACAACCTTGACTAAGTCCTCTTTAAGATCTAAACTAATGGAGGACCCGATTCCCCATTAAACATGATTGAGAAAGTGGAAGTAGAAATGCAAGTTCTAACTAAAGAATAAAAGTGTGAGCAAAAACATCTTCTCTGGAAGTTCTAAAGAGGGACATGCAACAAGGTCATCGACATGTAAGGTAAATTTGCCAGGTAAACATTCTTGGGTCTACTTCATATATTGGAGACATAGAGGACAAATCGCCATAGTATGTCACAGTTATGTACCAGATGGCCAATGTATGTTACAGGTGGCTTAACGAGTAGCCTTGATTAGGCTCTAGGTGCCTAAACCAGGTTTCAAGTGTCTTGACTGGATGTCAGTTGGCCTGAATCAGGTCACAGATGTTCAGGCCGAGCTTGAGTAATAGGTGTCTTGAGGTGTCCTACTCGAGTTCCACCAAAGCAAAGAAAGCTTAATGTGTCTCAAATTATGATAATGTCCTACGTCTGATAGGTATCCCGAAGGACAGTTTATCATTCAATTTATACTTTACCCTCTTAGACAATTCAACATACTAAATTGACCGTCAAAATAAGCCCAAGATATCACCCAGGCCCTTTGACATCATTTTCTGTCCCATGACACACACCGACACATTTAATAATAATAAAAGAATAAATTAGATGGATCAGCCAAATACCAATCGCGTAAATATGTAGCTTCACCGAAAAAAAAAATTGCTAACCCGTTGCATACTTACATCCAACATTTCTCGAGCAG